GGAGAACCCCGACACCCTGCGCCTGTGGAGCAACATGCCAATGCAGTCATCTTATCCACAGTCACTTCTTGTGAGCCATTTGGTATGTGCATTTTTCTACAGGCCGATACAAAACACCTGTTTTTTTTTTGTTTGTGTGTTTTTTTCTTACTGCGGTGAAGTAGAAATTCAGCCACATACCACCTTAGGGAATAAAGGTTGCCAAAGTTTATATATATATATATATATATATATATATATATATATATATATATATATTTCTTTTTTTGGAGGGGGTGGTGTCACTGTAAGATTAAAATTTCTTAATGCACTAGTTTGCACAAACTACAAACTACTTTGCCGCAAACCACAAAACGCGCAAAACCATCATTTAAATAGGGCGTCTCCAACAGTTTTGCACCTGCCACCAGTTACGCAATCGCTCTTGTTAAATCACCCGCAAACCGTGGTTCAGCCCCTCGCGCAAAATTCCACTTTGCGAGCGCAAATTACTGCACGCAAAATTGGATCTTGATAAATCCGGCCCTATGGGTACAAAATTGGCAAAAGGGAAGAATGACAGGGGGTCCACTTTAACAAAATGATTTATAGCACTTTTAATTTATCCATCCATGCTTGCTATTAGGACATATGACAGCAATATTTCTTTTGGTTTGATCAGGACACATTAAGACTTTAACAGAGCAAGAATTATTTACCAATCTTATGAATCATTTCCTGTATAATCAAAGAAAATTCTCCTTCCAAGAAAAAGACATTCAGTTAAATATATATGGTTAAAATATTCGGTGTGATCAGGAAAAATTGGAGCTAGAATAGGGCAATGATATATTTAGAGTTAAGACTCTTATAGAAGATGTAAAAATAAAAAGTTTAATACCGTATTTTCCATCCTTTTTACAAAGAATAATATTTATTTAGTGTTTTTAAACAATAAGTAGCTTGTAAAGCATTGTTTTTCTTTGAGGTAGAGCAGTCCTGCACAATGCATTGAGTCACGATCACATCAGCAAAGTGAAATGTTTCTATTCTAAGGATACTTGGATGCAAACCTGTCAGCTGCTTGAAAACTGTTTTCCGTTTATAAATATGGCCACTAAACCAGACATTCACTGTCTCTAAAGCTCAAAAGTTACAACAACGCATATAGATCTCGATGACCACGGTCAGAAACTCCCAAGTAGTGCTGAGGACATTGTGACGATAAAAAAAAGGTACTGAAATAGAGATTTGAAATCATCCTTGCAGCTTTCTACAAACTACTATGATTTCTTCACTAATGGAGCAATAGTTTGCCTCCCCTCCGAGAATGATCTAATTCTAGTTTCTGTTGGTTTTTTTGTCTTTCAATGGAATATTAATCTCCCCAAAAATTGCACAAATTGTTCAAGGATCAGAAACAGAATTTTTATTGATAGTGTCCAAATCTGACATGTTTACTTTTACTTTCTATATACAGGTGCTGGTCATAAAATTAGAATATCATGAAAAAGTAGATTGATTTCAGTAATTCCATTTAAAAAGTGAAACTTGTATATTATATTCATACATTACATACAAACTCATATATTTCAGATGTTTATTTTGTTTAATTTTGATGATTACAAATGACAACAAATGAAAATCTCAAATTCATCATATCAGAAAATTAGAATATTGTGAAAAGGTTCAAAATTGATGGCCCCTGGTGCCACACTCTAATCAGCTAATTAACTCGAACCACCTGCAAAAGCCTTTAAATGGTCTTTCAGTCTAGTTCTATAGGCTACACAATTATGGGGAAGACTGCTGACTTGACAGTTGTCCAAAAGACGACCATCGACACCTTGCACAAGGAGGGCAAGACACAAAAGGTCATCGCTAAAGAGGCTGGCTGTTCACAGAGCTCAGTGTCCAAGCACATTAATAGAGAGGCGAAGGGAAGGAAAAGATGTGGTCGAAAAAAGTGTACAAGCAAGAGAGATAACCGCACCCTGGAGAGGATTGTGAAACAAAACCCATTCAAAAATGTGGGGGAGATTCACAAAGAGTGGACTGCAGCTGGAGTGAGTGCTTCAAGAACCACCACACACAGACGTATGAAAGACATGGGTTTCTGCTGTCGCATTCCTTGTGTCAAGCCACTCTTGAACCACAGACAGCATCAGAAGCGTCTTGCCTGGGCTAAAGAGAAACAGGACTGGACTGCTGGTGAGTGGTCCAAAGTCATGTTCTCTGATGAAAGTAAATTTTGCATTTCCTTTGGAAATCAAGGTCCCAGAGTCTGGAGGAAAAGAAGAGAGGCACTTCATCCACGTTGCTTGAAGTCCAGTGTAAAGTTTCCACAGTCAGTGATGGTTTGGGGTGCCATGTCATCTGCTGGTGTTGGTCCATTGTGTTTTCTGAGGTCCAGGGTCAACGCAGCCACATACCAGGAAGTTTTAGAGCACTTCATGCTTCCTGCAGCTGACCAACTTTTTGGAGATGCAGATTTCATTTTCCAACAGGACTTGGCACCTGCACACAGTGCCAAAGCTACCAGTACCTGGTTGAAGGACCATGGTATCCCTGTTCTTAATTGGCCAGCAAACTCTCCTGACCTTAACCCCATAGAAAATCTATGGGGTATTGTGAAGAAGAAGATGCAATACACCAGACCCAACAATTCAGAAGAGCTAAAAGCCACTATTAGAGCAACCTGGGCTATCATAACACCTGAGCAGTGCCACAGACTGATCGACTCCATGCCACGCCGCATTGCTGCAGTAATACAGGCCAAAGGAGGCCCAACTAAATACTGAGTGCTGTACATGCTCATACTTTTCATGTTCATACTTTTCAGTTGGCCAACATTTCTATAAATCCTTTGTTTTTATTGGTCTTCAGTAATATTCTAATTTTCTGATATGATGAATTTGAGATTTTCATTTGTTGTCATTTGTAATCATCAAAATTAAACAAAATAAACATCTGAAATATATGAGTTTGTATGTAATGTATGAATATAATAAACAAGTTTCACTTTTTAAATGGAATTACTGAAATCAATCTACTTTTTCATGATATTCTAATTTTATGACCAGCACCTGTAATGACGGGATCAGTAGAACCACAAACTCTTACCTTTTCCAAGACATTTAAACCTTTATAGGGCAAGTTAGTGTTTCTGATCACTTGCATACACCTTACAAATGGAGTCCCCCCCCCCCCATCCCAGAGTGAGGTCTAGAAGCACAAGATCTATATCCAGCCATTAAGCAAAGATACTGCTACATGGCTGTACGTCTTATTTCGGCATTGACCAATTAGATGAGCCCTTGAATGATATATTACCTACTATAAATTAAGTTGGAAAAAAAGTTAGGTCAAGAAAAAAGGGGTCGTGGGGGGGTGTTGGTGCCTATCTTCAGCTGTCTACGGACGAGAGGTGGGGTACACCCTGACAGGTTGCCAGTCTATCGCAGGGAAACATAGAGACAAACAACCATTCACGCACACACTCACACCTAAGGAGAATTTAGAGAAGCCAATAAACCTAACAGTCATGTTTTTGGACTGTGGGAGGAAGCTGGAGTACCAGGAGAGAACCCAAGCATGCTCAGGGAGAACATGCAAACTCCATGCAAAATTGGCCAGGAAAGGAATCTGCAACATTCTTCAGCAGTGCTACCAACTGCTCCACTGAGCAAACGGTAAAAAAAAGGTACAAAGTTAATTGAAAAGTTAAAAAGTAAAGTTAAGAAGTTTATAGCTTAATTAACATTTATATTTATGTTTATAAACTAAAAAATATAAATGCCAATATCAGCATTAATGCCTCTAAGGTTATGCTGTACAAAAAAAAATAAAATGTGTTTCCTTCACTCTCAGTGTTTTTCATTTTTTATGTTATTTTTTCCTACTTGCTTTGATTCCGTTTTATTTTCCTATATTTTAATCATGTAAAGCACTTTGCATTGTCTTTGTACTGAATTGTACATATGTCCATCGACATATATAATAACGTTTTTTTTTAATACACACACACACACACACACACACACACACACACACATACACACATACACACATACATACATACATATATATATATAGAGAGAGAGAGAGAGAGAGAGACACTTTTATAAAACTATTGGCTTCAGCTTTTGATTTTCAAAGTATTTCCCTTAGGGCCCTATAAAGGGTTAGGACAGGCATCCCCAAACTCGGTCCTCGAGGACCGCTGTCCTGCAGGTTTTAGAGGTTTCCTTGTTCCAGCACAGCTGATTTTAATTGAAAGATGATTAACAGGCTTCAGCTCTACTGCAATCATGATAATCAGCTGTGCTAAAGCAGAGAAACCTCTAAAACCTGCAGGACAGCGGCCCTCGAGAACCGGGTTTGGGGATGCCTGGGTTAGGAAATGGACTCATTTTTTATTTTTTCACATTCAAAAAAACAAAATTTAAAGGTTTGTATGAATTAACTATAAAAAATGATTCGTTAAGGGGTAAGAAAAAAAAAACAATGTTGATTAAAAAAAATAATCCAGAATCAGAGTAAAGCCCATACATTTAGAGGTATTCCACTATGTTGAAAAAGCACCCTGATAGAATAGGTGCTGTTGCCATAATCAAGCACTGCATGTCTGCTCATTCATTTTGTCCCCATCCCGCACACACTGCGGCATTAAAGCCAGCTCACATTTAATGCTCCCATATCTGCGTTAATTGAACACGATGCGGTCTCCAGAGCGCAGCTTTCCAGGCTCCTCTGACAAGAGCTGAGCTGGAAGGGAGGGGGGAGTAATACTAATTATTATTATTATAATATTTGACTAAGGAAATCCTACAGCAACCACCGATATATCCTCCTAACGTGCAGCTCGAAAATGGAGAGAGGGAGCGGGTCTTCTTGGTGTTATTCTGAGACCTTAGTGCCGCTGTAGAGGATTACCAACCTAATATTATATAAACACCACCGGAACCATGGTTCATCCACTGCAGCCCCGAAATGACTCCAAAAAAAAACATGGTACTCACTGCGGGCGGACAGGAAAAGGAGAAGCGGGGTTTTCAGACCTCCTGTGTTTAGGGTGAAAACCACCGGCTGGACGTCTGTTTTCCTCCGTGTCGACGCTGCTGAGGAAGAAAGGCGAACACGGAGAGCAGGCTGAGCTGTAGCAAGCACTGCGGTGTTCACAGCCTGCTGCTGCTGACGGCCCGCTTCTTCTGCTGCAGGGGGAGGGAGTAGGACCATACCGCCCCCTGCTGGCGGGGAGACCAAACCGCTTCAAGGCTGTGGTACTGGCTGCTGTTCGGCCGCTTTATTAGTGTTACTGCTTTTAACCAAACCTTGGGGTGAGATTTTGAAATAGTTTGCAGAGCGTAGCCAGAAAATCCTAACAGGGGTGGCCAGTCAAAAACCAAAGTACATTGAGGGGTGGCCGAAAAGCACCAGAACCTCAGGGTCAATCTACGTTGTTCCACCAGGAACAACCACAACATCCATATTTTCTAAATAAAGACAAACTATACGTTCCTACAGCCTTTGCTAACAAATAGACCCATATATTTAAGCATCTACGCTGTGTAAATAAAAGGTATAGAGATCAAAATTCCGAATTTCGAACACAGTTCAATTGTCATTACCCACTTTTATCAATAATCATTCTGCAAAAAAAAATATATTTAAATCTACTAATATCCACATTTGATGAATTTTTATGTTATAATTAAAGTAATTATCTATGATTTAGACTCCTAAATGACTTGCAGATTCACTTAAATTTTTCTTTATCCCATATATTTCAAAATTTACTTCTGAAAAGAGCATGAATTCTGTATCTATCATCTTTAATGTTTGCATATTGATGTGCATAATTAACCAGTGTTTCTGTTGTCAAGTAGTTGTTAATATATGGAAAAATGTAAATATTAGATAAGTTTGAGCATTCCCCTTCAGAGTATTACTGCTGCCACCCTCTGTATTAGAGGGAAAAATGGTAGGGGTGGCCACAGGGGTGGCCAATGATTGGCTAAGGGTGGCCATGGCTAGCCTGGGTGCCAGTCCGAACTTAGTCCCGCCCACAAGGTTTGAGTTCGGGGAAGTTCGGTCTGGCTCTGCTCCATAGTAGCGCGAGTATTAAAGCCCACTGTCAGGCGATCCAATCAAATTGTCAGGGCGGGCTTTATACGATGATGGACAGATGATCAAGAGTAACGTTATCAACCACGTGACCAAAGCGCGCTTGGGTGACAACAACAATGGCTGCCGCTGGAGAGTTTGGGTGAGTAGATTCTGCTATTAGGTCTGTTCTAGAAGATATCGACAGCAAATTAATTTTAAAAGAGGAACAGAGAAACGCTATCAAGGCTCATCTTCTTATTCTAGGCGTGAAACTGCACGCTTTGAGTTTTGTGGACAACAACTATGCCTCGCTTAACATACGTCACGCACTCCGTTGCTCTTATTGGTTGTAGGTCTATCCAATTGAGTGCAGAGGCATTTTTTTTCCTGGTTCGTTCAAAACACGCCCCATAATCACAGCTCTATGGAGCAGTATCAGACTCATATTCTGACTAGAATTGAGTCGGACTACGTCAGGCTAGGCCATGGCCACCCCTGGCCGCCCATCTAGCTCCGCCCCTGATAGTTTGGACAGGAAATCCTGTCAGCGTGAGATGAGGACAGGTGCAGCTATAGGTTGGAGGTTTTCAGAGGATTTAACTGAAACAAAGCGGCAAAATGTGGAATGTTTTTATAAAACAGTAAATGTTACTGAGAAACAATAAGTAGTTATGTGGAACATTTTTCTCACAATATACATTATTTTCTAAATTCTGGTGATTTTTAAAGAATTGAAGTAAAGCAGAATGGGCCCCACTAAAATAATTGCATCTTAAATATGCTTTAAACTAAGAATTTCACAACTTTGCTCATTAATTATTCTCTGCAGTTCAAGTAAATTAAACAATGGGGAACTAATAAGTGGCACTGATACAGGAACCAGTGCAATCGAAGCCTATGCAAACTACACTGTGTATGAATATTTGGTAATAGGCTAAGGATTAAAAAGCTTCATTCATTATTTATGTTATTACTTTTTCTTACAATCGACAAAACTGCTAAACAATTTAGACCTTCTAGGAGGCTGTAGATTGTATATGACAGGAGACGGCACTTCTCTGGATGTTTCAGGTTGGAAGATGTGATGGAAATCAAGTTTTTAAACTTATTCAATAAACCAAAATAAAGATAAATGAATAAGATAAGTAATAATAAAAGAAGAACATCCAAGTGGTTCTTCCTCTATCCTGGATAACTGAGTTGTTCTACACATCCTCTCTGTATGTGGTACTCCTTTCTTGGGTAGCTGATCTTTTGAAAAATAAAATGCAATGGTTCTTTTTCTTTTTGTTTACCTCCTATGGGGGCAAACCTAAAGGTTTAAGAATTAAAATATTTATGTTGGTCTAATTACTGCTAAATTCCAACAGGAGATTATTAAACTAGACTGAGTTGAGTTTTAATGTCTGTCCTTTTTTAGTGTGAGGAATTGGGAATATGGAGTGAGAGTGTGTGAAGACACGAAGATGGGTGAGTCTCACTCCCGATAGGTGAGAGTTGACAGCCGTGAAGTCGTGAAGTGTTATTCAAAGAGTTTGTCCTGAGTCATCTCTTTTCAGGAAAAGAACCAGAGCGATAGAGCATCAAGGTGCATACACAGAGCCTATCTTTAACATTAGGTACATCTGTTGGAATTATTGTTGATGCAAATTGGGAATCCACATTGAAACCTAAAGATTATATTCAAATCAGTTTATTTATGTTGCACCAATTCACCACATATATCATCTCAATTCTACAGAGACAATTTCAACCATATCATACAGTCAGATTGGTTCAAAGTTTTCTATCTAAGGAAAACAAGATGATTGCATCGAATCATTGACTCTTCAGGAATCCATCCCACCGTGCATGTAGAGTATACAGTGAGGCAAATAAGTATTTATATTCCCTGCTATTTTGCAAGTTCTCCCACTTAGTTAGAAATCATGGAGGGGTCTCAAATGGTCATTGTGGGTGCATTTCTACTGTGAGAGACATCATCTAAAAAAACAAATCCAGAAATCACAATATATGATTTTTTTAAAACTTTTTGTATGATACAGCAGTAGATAAGATAGACAAATTTCCCTACAGGGAGAATAATAAACAGATATACTATTTTTTGTTATTCCCAAAGCTATATATTTTCAGTTTTTATTTAAAGATAACCTTTAAGGAATACTTATTGCCTGACTTAAGACAATTATTAGAGACCATAAAAAGCAAGAAGATAACAGAGATAAAACAAGCAAACCAAAAAGAAAGAGTAATGAGCTGAAGATAAGATGTGATGTTATTTTGATAGACTCGGGAAGAAAAGCTGTTTTAATGATAAGGAGACACTAAATGTTCATCAAATCCAGACCTAAACACAAATAATAATCAAAAAAATTAAACCAATAAAAAGTGACAAATAATTAGATTCATTTAGAAAAATGTAATTGTATAAACAACCTTTAAAAAAGATTGAAACAAATTAAGTCTACATTTAATACAAACAGCAGTTACAAAAGGCAATTAACAAAAAAAAGAAATTGACTTTAAAAAAAGAATAAAGCCAAACTACAAATGTGACACAAACATGGGGAAACATAACAATTCTCCCCTTGTATAATTATTATAATAGAATAACTGTATAAATTGTGTTACTTTACATATAATAGTTATGAAAGACAACCAAACAACTTTTTATAGTTATAGGTAGAAAAGAAAACATAGTAAGGGCACATGCAGAAGTATAAACTTACCCGAGTTATTTTATCAAAACAAAACATGTAGTGATAGGAAATCTTATTTTTAATATACGACCGCAATATGTTCATTATATATTCTAAAATTGGATAAATTAGATTTTTGGGGGGCATTTTGGTCAACATTAAGCCATACATTGATGGATTCATAATAGAGGTTAAGATAAGAAATTCTATAGAAACGCATTTTTAAAGAGTTTGAGGACATTTTTTGCAGCCAAATCAAATTAACATCACACCAAAAAGGAAAGTGAATGGAAAATTGAACAGTGAACCTCCTTATCTTTCTAAAGAACGAACACATCTTTTAATAGCAAGCAGCTAGGATCACACAATTAAAACATTGTTTAGAGAACAAATTAGTATGGAAATGTATGGATCTATGCCTTTCGCAGCAGTTTCAGATGGAAAACATGCAAACATAACAATGCTCGAGTTCAAACAGACAAGTCTGTTAATGTATGGACTGCATAACTTCAATTTATATGCAAGAATACTGTTTATAGCTGCAATGCAGAACGGTATAATCCAGGCAGGACAAACTGAAATGATGACTCTCTGTTTCTACATGATAGAGTAGTTGATTTTGTTGACATATGGCCAGATATCGGTCATAAACCATGAGAGTAAGGATGGACAGATCACTGCAGACAAAGGAGTACAATACATGAACCTGGAGAGGCAGCCTTTATAAGAGAGGACTTGGCCAGAGCACATCCCACAAAAAGTTGGAATAGGAACCTGACATTCCCTAAAAAGCATTAATGCAAATAGCAAATAGTAGAATATACATCAGTTCAATGGATTCCTTATGCAATATTATTGTCAAAAAGAAAAAGACCGCTGTAGCATTTTTTGTATTTGTTAACCAATGCTGTCTGCTCTTCTACCATCTCTCTTAGACTGTTTGATTTTGCTTCTGTTGGATTTAGCTAAATCTAATGAGATTCATACCCAGCCAGTAACCTTCTTCTAGGTATTGTGGTGCATTGACAAGGCTTACAGAGAGAGGTTTGATTTCAAAGAGGACCCAGAGGTTGATAACAAATGTAGGAGGATGGCGAGAGAAGGATAAGGGATATAACAGCCTAAGTTTTTTATTTTTCTGACTGATATGCACAAGTGGATATTTCCTATCCGTTTAAAACATTTTCAGAAATTCAAGTTGTACAAATAATCAATAAAACAAGAATTCAAGTCTTTTAAAATGCTCTGTTAAAAGTAGAAACAGAACCAAACAAATTTTTGGTGAGGATCAAATTAGCACATCCACACAAATATGTATCTGCATCAGAGCAAAATAAACCAAGTTTGTTTTTTTGATATTATCATTGAACAAGACGGAAAGTGGCTTCTTGCAGTGGA